TAAAAAAGAAAACCCTTTAAAAAGAAATAAAAAAAATAAAAGGACAGATCGCCCCTTGAAGGAGGCGATAGCCTTGCCTCAGGCAACAGGCGTGCCGAGGCACCCAAAGGCGAGCGCCCGATTGAAGGCGCTCGCCTAGGCACCTTGCGAGGCGCACCTGGGCAGAAACGCCTCGCCTCTAGCCTGAGGCGAGCGCCCGGGTGTGCCTCGAAAACACTGAATGGAAGAAGGGGTCAATCTGAACCTTGGTAAGGTTTGTGGGAGATGAATGAATACATGCCTCTGCAGGGATGAATCCAAATGGATTTTCCTTGATTTTAATGGTTGCTTCCATCAAGTCAAGTCTCGATAGGGTTTTCTTAGCTATTTCGATGAAACTGCCGCAAGCATCTCTGATGAGCTTCAAGGTACCTTTTGTCCCATTTATCCAGAGGAAGATTTCGGATTTTTATCCAGCCCCCATAAGATAGAACTTTAGGAGATATATTTGGGTCAAGTTTGCTGATATAAAAAATTTTCAGGTGGAAGCTGCCGACCTTATACCAATCTTTGAAGCCGCAGAGGATGAGGCTTTGTTCTCTACCTTCACATTGAAGGAGAGCTTTATCTGCCGTAAAAGGATTAAGGGTACAGAAAAAACTGATGTGTTCTCTTAGGGCTCTTGTAATTTTGAACGGTAAATGTCTCCTCATAACAATAATGGATGATTCCAGCTGAAGCTTGCATAGTCACATGTAGGCGTATTCTGTGTCCTTTTAGGCTGTGGGTGTTGTGTTAAATCAACAATTGACTTCTTTTTGAAGAATTCTGTTGTAAGTTTGTAACGACTGTAAGAAATTGGGTTTAAGGATGTTCTAACTATTTTGGAAGAGTTCATTGTATCGTTGGGGGCCCTAGGCTTTGTTGCCAATAACATTTGGGTGCCTCTGTTTTTCTCTTCCTCAAAAGTTCTTTAAGAGCTTGAATTAAGGTTCTAGAGAATCCATTCGGGAGATTTGCCTTTTGCAAAACGTTTGAGAAAAGAAAGAGAGGACCTTCCTTTTCTAGATGCAGGTTAAATGTAAGACACTTGCATTCTTGCCATCACAATCGATTATTTCTGAATTAAAACTTATACTCCTTTACAAGCAGACCATATGAAAAAATGAGGAACCTTTTATCACCATTAAAAAGCCACAAGTTCTTGCATTTTTTATTCCATATTATGTCTTCTTTAAGAGTGAAACCGTGAAGGGTGGTTCTTACTGACTTTCTATTAGCAAATTCCAATAAGTTGAGAGTTCTGCTCTTCCAAAATAACCATCTTAATTTACTCGATAATCTTCAGCTTGCTGAAATGAATATTGTCAAAGTAATTATATGATTTGGTTTTCTGACTCGAGATTTAAGTTTACACGTGAAGGAGTGAGCAACAAAGTTGTTTTCCTGAAAAATCTTACACAGTTGTAATTTTCTTATTGGAGTTCAATTTCTTTTTTTTTTTTTTTTTTTGATAAGAAACTTATGTATTAACTCAGCAAAAGATGACAACCTAAGGGTTGGGCAGGGGGAATCCCACCCAAGGACTAAATCAACTCTTTCCAGTTGTTTATAGCCATGGAAAGGTTGTACTTACAAAAGAATTTTCTATAGTTGATGCACCACCAAGAGGCTGTGCTGTACATTTCTAAAAAAATCTCAAAAATCTCAAAAGAAACATTCTTATCCTCAAAAGTCCTCTAATTTGCTTTCCATCCATAAATGCCAAACAAAAGGTCTAGCAGCACAACCCCACAGAAATTTCATCTTGCTAGGGAGATTCCACCTGTGCAACACTTCTGAAAGCCAATCATCAATTTTATTTGGGATACAAACCGAAACCCCAAAAATATCCAGAAGGAAGTTCCACTTTGGTGTGCAAGGGACCATAGAAACCCCTCCCCGCTTTGAAGAAGTGAATTTCCAGATTGCCAAAAGGAGAGAAGATCTTACTAAAGGGGTACACTCCATCCGCAGGCAAGCAGAACGAGTTGAGTAGGTCCCTGTTTTGTCCAAGGACCATCTCGCTTGATCTTCTCCTGCTCCAAGTCTGACTACATCGATTTAGCTAATAAAATTCACCCAGTTAACTACCTCCCAATCAAAAGGGCATCTTCGAAAGTCTAAATTCTAGTCGTTTTCATCTCTGTTCCAGCACTCCTCTATTGTAGCTTCTTTCTTTGTAGAAATGTTAAACAAGGCGGGGAGGGAATGTTTCAAAGGTTGCTCACCCACCCATCTATCCGACCAGAACTTTATTCTATTGCCGGCTGACACCTTAAACTCTAGGAATCTGAAGAAGGCAGTGTTTTTATAGATGTCGAACCAAGGCCTTCCTTCCGCTTTTGATAGAACCACACTTTCGCTTTGGAGTTCAATTTCAGCTGAAAAGATCCACATTAGTTATCTTTTTAGTCTTATGACCACTTCCACATACTCTATGACTATGAGAGGAGCTTTTGATAGAACTTGTCTAGAGAGACTCATTACCAAGGGAGAATTAGAGAGCCAATCTCTTTCCTAATACCAAACACAACAAAATGCCAAAAATATTAAGAACTATCTACCTGATCCAATGTGTAGATCCCTGCTACAATGCTAACGGATGCAGGACTCACACTACAAGTTACATTCTCTTTCCTTTTAACAACTACTCTCCCTTTTGTACCCTCTTTATACGATATACATTTATAATTGGGGGCCTATCACTTTTATCTAGGCATTCACTGAACCCTGCACAAACATCATGAATGGCTTCAAAATCTCTAGAGAAGAGAAGAGAGCTCCATCTATGAGTTCCCACAATTATATTCATTCAATAATTAACTTCAATCTGGTATTACAAGTGAGCCATATCAGCCTTGTTATTTTCTCAAAATGAGAATTCACTAATCTATTTTTGATTGGCTAATGGTTATTTTTCTTTGTTTATGTTTTCTTGGATATGTTGTTACTTTCTTCCAAGATTTGCAAGTCTCTAATTACCTGTCATTTATATGTAGAAAGGAAGGACAGGATACTCATGATGAATTGCAAAGGAGGAATCTCAGGGATGAGTTGGAAGATCGTGAAAGGAGGCATTTTTCATCAAAGAATAAGTCATATGGTAAACACATCCATTCTTTAGAAAAATGTATAATGAGTTATTTGTTTATTCTCACGTCACTTATGGTTTTGTTCGAATATCCTTTTTTCATGCTGTCGTGTTTGCAATGAGTTTATCATGATTCACTTCCATAATTTGCAGATGATAGAGATCATAGGAAAGGAAGTCAATTTCTGTTAGAAGGTGAATTCACCTGCTCCTGTGTTTACATTTAATAACACATCCGGTAATCTTTTATTTCACCAGTTATTTTTTATGCTTATTAGGAGGAAAGAGAGATATTGAAGATCGTATTATTCCTCGAAGTTTAGATGCTGACGATTCTGATGTGGATGTCAAAAGTGATAATGAGAGGTTAGTTGGTTGCCTTTCCATTTTACTAATTTATCAATGAGGTTGTTTCTTATAAAAAAAATATATGAATTTATTAATCATATTATTTTCTTAGCCTTTTCTCTTAATTCTTACTAGAGACAACTTTATTTACTCGTGTGTTTTTAAAATTTACATCCTTTGTCCTCACTTGGTAGTCTAGCTTCCCTTTATTGAGTAAAGTTGTATTTACATTACTGCACATACTATTTTGCAAAACAGAATAATTTAATTTGAGATGCAGAATATGTGTTGAAGTATATGATATTCATGGTTTGAAGTTTAGTATTGAAGTATCTAATGTTTTATGGTAGTGACGACGACGACGACGACAACGATGATGAGGATGATACTGAAGCTCTCTTGGCTGAGCTTGAGCAAATAAAGAAGGAAAGAGCAGAGGAGAAGCTTCGAAAGGTGAGCCTTTTGTCTATCCAGATAGCTTCATGATATGGTCTCGTGCTTGTAGTGGTAACCTTTTCTTTTCTTCAAGATTTAAGAAGGAATGCACCTCGAACCAAGTGATTAGCAGTTGAGATTGCATGAATGGTGATTAGTTGAATCTTTTAAGATCAATGAGATCCAAAATATTGAGTTTAAAATTTTTGCTTCGTCAGTTGCTTAAATCTGTAATATGATGTATAGGAAATACAAGAGCGAGAGGAAGAGCTTAAAGTGAAGGAAGCAGAGTTACTCCGAGGAAATCCACTGCTTAATGAGCAACCCTCCTCTTTTAGTGTCAAAAGAAGGTCAGTTCACCTGATTTAGCCATTTTTCATGACTTCATTTGTTTATTTGGTGCACGTACGTGAACTTCTATTCTGATTACACAACCTCCTATACATTTCTGGATCAGATGGGATGATGATGTTGTATTCAAGAACCAGGCCCGAGGCGAAACAAAGACCCCTAAGCGTTTTATAAATGATACCATCAGGAATGACTTCCACCGAAAATTCTTGCACAAGTACATGAAGTAACATGGTTATCAAAATCCACCGGAGCGAGATCCAAGTAACAATTCTATGTATCATAATGTATTGAAAGTGATGGACATTTGTTTGAGCACAATATCAAATCTCAACCTTCATGTTACAGCTTTTATAAAGTATGTATGCCTTGGATATTTCAGTCTGTCCTCTGAATTGAATGAAGTACAAGGATTCGAAACTTGACTACGAATGAATCTTAAATTGCTCTTGGCTCATATTTTACATTTGATTGACGAAGTGTCTGAAGTAATGATGTTCTGTTTTGATCAAATATTGGATTGAGTGATCCTTTTGTGCAGGCAAAAGTAGGCACATAATCTGTAGGCGAGGATCATGGCTAGCAGAATCCAGACTTCTTGTAAGCCGCCATTGAGGTTGACAGTGTCAAATGAGGTAGAACTCTGCAGAGTGCGGCAGCCTTGTGGGCTTTGGCACTCATATAACTGGTCTCCTGAGTACTGCACTTTTAGAAGTAGTCTGAACCCATAATACATGAATGATACATATTTCATCCATCGCATGAACTTCGGTATATGCTGCAACATACCCACCCACCAAAATATCAACTTTATTTGCATTTCAATTTATCCCAAATTATGATTTGCTTCTAGTTTAATCTTGTTTCAACAGTTTCAACTTTATTTTACTTTGGTCCTTGTAATTTGGTCTCTTATGATCTGGTTTAACTTTATAAATCGTTCCTAAACCGTTGTTTTACTCCTTTGGAAAACCTATCAACTTTTTCCTATTATTTACCTGACAATAGTATAATCAGAGCAGATGTATAGTGAGTTTTGAAGTACCTGTACGTAGTAGCCTCCTGTTAGAAGAAATAACATTAGTATCAAAGAAGCAACCATACCAGCTCTTCTAATACTCAGAACTGCAGCTCCAAACAACTCTCCTGCCCCCTAATCACAAAAACTAAGTCATCTCATGTCCTCTGTTTCACAAATCATTCATCAAACAAGACAATAATGTTGGAATAGTTTCAATTTTCAAACACCTGGCTTGTCACTGCAACCAATAATATTGCAAACAATGTCAGCAAGAAACATGTTACTGTTCTGTTGAAGTCAACCATGAAGTAGAGAATGAGCATGAACAGAGTTGGATAGAGCACATGTGCAATCATGTCGCATAGCGTGCTGCTCATGTAGTACACGCTTAGTCGATACATATCCGCTTTTCTCTCTTTCACCAAATACACCTTTTCAAATGGGAACACATACACTGCTCCGAAGATGGATGAAGATGTCCAAAATATGCAGATGTAGAACAATAAGCCGATCTGAAAAACCAGTTAAATTGCCCTAACTTATCAGGTTAAACTTTTAGTTTTAGCAGCAGTTTAGTTTTGTTTAGTTTAGTTTGTTGATATTGTCTTGGAAATCGTAACAAGAACCTGGTCTCGCAATTGAGGTTCAGTGTCGATCTTGGATTTCCACCAAAGAAGCCCCAACAGCAGTGCAACTCCAACCGCTTGAACTAGCCTTAGTTTGTCAAAGTAATCCTTACTCCTTTCTTTGAATGTCCTCTTTGAAACAATCCTAAATTGTTCCCACCAGCTTATTGTCCAGTCCTTCCCAACCTGGGCAGCTAATTGTAGATGTTCTGGTGCCTTAGCAGCATGGTTCTTTCTTCTTTCTTGAACCTCCAATTGAGTTTTGTACTTGAGTTGCAGGTACTAAAGAAATCAAATAAAAAAAACACATGTTGAGAAATAAATGCTTTCAACGTATTGTGACATTTAAAGACACTCCCCACCTTAATAATCGTTTTGTCTGTGTCGAGAGAGCCTTGGGATTCCGATACGTCTTCGGGAAGACTTATGTCGCCGACTTGTCCGGTAGCTAGATCGAGCAAGAACTCTGCAGGGTTCATGGGGATTTGTGGGATAAATCTCAAAGATGAGAAGTATTCCATTGATTCTCTAGCCTTTCCATAGTATACAGGATAGCCTTCTGCCATGAGTAGAAGTTTGTCAAACATGTGAAACATTTTGCTTGATGGTTGGTGTATTGTTGTGATTATTGTCCGTCCGGCCTGTGTAAGGTGGAGTTTTAATATCTTTAGACATAAACAAGTTCATGTTGTACTCCAACATTTACTTTTGCTACCTTGGCAAGTCCTTTGAGGACTAGAAGAAGTCTATTTGCTGAGTTCGAATCAAGGCCTGAAGTTGGCTCATCGAGTAATAGAAGGGAGGGATCGATCAAAACTTCATATCCTATGCTTGTTCTTTTTCTTTCTCCTCCTGATATTCCTTTGCCAAAACCACCACCAATCTTTGTGTTGCGACATCTGCAGTTTGAAAAAGCTACAAATTGGGATAGGATATAGAACAAAGATGTAAAAACAAGAACCAGTCCCAATAAAACTGCAGAATAAATGGAGTTGTAAGGTAATGGTACTTCCTAAGAAAATCATATATTTATTTAGATAAATCCATAAAAAAACCGTCAGTTAAAAGAGGCGAAATCAAAGTAGTTGTCTATAAACAAAACACCACTTGCTATACCCCAACGCACACCACACCTTTCAAGTCCTAGCTCTTTCACTATCATGTCTACTCTCTCGTACTTTTGCTGTCGGTTCATATTGCTCGGTAGCCGAAGAAATGCGGAGAAAAGTAAGGTCTCTTCGACCGTTAGTTGCGGGAACAGCACATCGTCTTGAGTCACAAACCCAATCCTGTTAGTAAGTAGTGATCAAGAGGTTATTAGAACTTGCGACACTAATACTCAATCAGGAAATGCTTCAAAACAGAGAAAGTGACCTCCTTTTAAGGGCAGCAGTATAGGGTATGTCATTGTAGGTAATGTTTCCCTTGACATTGTCAAGTAATCTTCCTCCAATCACTTTCAACAAGGTTGTTTTGCCACTGCCAGAAGCCCCCATCAAAGCAAGTATTTCCCCAGGCCCAACTCTTCCTGTTATGCCCTTCAAGATTTTCTTGTAGCTGTCTTCATACATGTTGATTTTTGAGGCCGCTTTTGACATTATTGCCTTCACTGGGTTGCTGTTTTTGGTGGAGCCTTCCTTCTTCCTCACCTTGTACTCCACATCTTCAAACTGCAGAACGTGCAAAATTCAAAGATGCTCATTCAAAGTAAACAGTAAAATTGTACATTTCAGCAAATACCTTGAGGAATATGGGGAGTGGGCAACTCCTATTGGCATTAAAACTCTCAATTTCAATGTTAACTTCAGAGTAGTTGTGTCTGATGTCTTGAATTTCATCATCCTCTCTCCTAATTTCCATGGTTGTTAAGAGAGAGAGAGGGATGATTAAGGTTGTGTTTGGAATATCTGAAACTTGGAATTAATGGGAGGGAGGGATTTCGGAATGTCAACTGTATCAGACCCAAAACTTGCCTACATATCAAAGGCAGGATGTTGCTTGGTGAGCCACAGGCTTCCCATGCTTAGGGTTTTTGGATTAACAAAGTCATTGGTTTATTTCACACACACAAATTGCTTCTATAATGGGCCTTTCCCCAAATGCACATGCCAAGGGCATGACTGGAAGTATGCACTTTTTGGGGACTTAGATTTGGGCCCGTTTACTTTTACTAGATGTCACATAATCCGATTTAATGTTACACTATTGGAGAATCAATGGCAAAGTTCATAGACTAAGTGGCAATCATGTTTAAGAAAAGGTGTTTTGAATTTAAATAATATAAAGTAGTCTTTTGATATTGAGAGTTTGTTCGATTTTCTTGTTTTTGAAGATTTGTGGTAAGTAGTGGGCATTGTTCAGGTGGGACGATGTTCTTTTTTTTGTATTACAATTAATTCGAAGTATGTGGGTTTGAACATTCAACCTCAAGAAGAATAGGTCCGAATTATTGCGAGCTATGCTCATGTTGACTTGAGTATTAATTAGTTAATTATAGACCTGTTAGATGCTATTAGTGAGTAATTCTAGATGTGTTAGATTCTTTTTAGGTAGGATAGGGCATTTTTGTGTCCTTGTCCGAGTGCTCTTTTATGGATTTTTTTTCCTTTGTCTGGGAGGATTTCAGTGTTGAATTTTGATTAAATATTTTGTTGGTTGAATTTGGTATAATTTACTGATTTGTCCATTGTAAATTTTATGATATTATTTTGTAATGTAGAACTCATTCGGAATGAAATTAAAAAATTACGAAGTTAACTAATTGAACTATGTACACAAGGTGAGAACAAAATTTCCTCCTAAAATATAATTACAGAAAGGGTAATTTCAATTTGTTTTGTTTTTTTTATTTCATAATCTGTTTTACACATAAGAAATAAACTTATTTACTCAGGAAAGGTTTAAAATGTTCCATTTTTTTTGTAATTTTACTATTTTTAATATTTTGATTTCAATAACTTTTCCAATGATTTAATCTTATGAGTTTGTGTTCAATTATATTATTTTGAATATCAACTTTCAAGAGACATGGTTCTAAATGTCGTTCGGACTTGACATCGACACGAGGGGGGAAAATTGTTTTTACCTTGTCGTCAATATGTCAACCAAATGTCAAACTTTTCTTTTTTTTTTNAAATTGGTTTTTTATTTAAATAATTTGAAATTATACATCATTTAGATATTTCAATTAAATAATTTGAAAAGACATGTCCACCACCAAACGAGAAAACGATGGAATTGGTTTGTTTGGGTGAGATAATCTAGGAATTGGTCTTTTTTCTAAATAATTTGAAACTTTTTTCTTTTTAGTAGAGGTTTATTTTCACTTCAACCATTTGATTAAGTAGATTTTTACTTTTATTTTTTATTTTTTATTTTCCTTATTACTTTGATTTTTTCTCCTTTCAAATAATTTTATATGTTCATTCACCTTTTCTTGAATGCAGAAAAAATATTTCGATCTGTTCATCATAAGTACTAAGAATGGGCAATCCTCTTCAAGGAAATAATTGAACTCGATTAATTAAATCTTATATAAAATAAATTAAGGAGGTCCATTCAAATTTGGGATTCCTAAGATTTTGTAGGTTTGTTTGAATTAAATGAAAATATATTTGATATTAATTAAGTTATATCACCACTATTGCTATATAATAAATTTTATTTTTCAATTTTTTTACTATTATTTCATTTTTGTATTGATATTTCACTTGAATTATGTTACAAACAACTAGATTACATTAGAAATTATCAACATCACGAAAGCAACAATAACTTTAATTTACTAATTCAAATAATTTTTATGATCCGAACGATTGCCTTCGCGGATCCAAACGTGCTCAAGAGCATTATACCTAAACATTTATGCCTTTCATTTTTTTCTAATATGATTACTTTCATCAATTTTCTATATTTTTACTTTTAGTTTCATGATTTAATAAATTAATGCACTAATTGACTAATACAGAACTTTATGCAATTATCAAAGGAATATATCTCAGTGGTAATTGACATATACCTCCAATCAAGAGGTGTGAGTTCGATCTCCCATCCCCACATATTGTACAAAAAAAAGAACTTTATGTAATTAAGTATATTTAGATATTACATGTAAATATAAAATAAAATTATATAATATATCCATTTATTTTAAATATTTGGAAGGAATTATTATTAATAATATTTATTATCATAAAATATATAATTTTTAAAGCAATATTTTTCTAACGACCAACATGCATTTGATATTTTTCCTCAGACAAAAATACAATATGATAATATAATAAATAAATTCCATCCAAGATAATAACAATTATATAATTGTCTTTGAAAAAAAAAATATTAAAGTTGAAAATGAAATTTATATTTTTATATTAATTATTAAAAAAACATTATATTAATGAATTAATTTAATTCTAAAAAAATATATAAAAACTAATATATATAAAGTTTTTATAAAATAACAAAATATTAAATTAATAAAAACAAATCTAATATATAAATGCAAATTATAATATATTAATGTATAAATTATACGAATATTAATAGCGCATTTTTGAAACATTATAGAATTTAAAAAGTTCCTAAAATAAATATTGCAAAATAAACATAATTATTAAAATATTTCCAGACATTTAAAATTTTGGGCATCTAAACTTTCAGGCATCTACATTCCGAAAAAATAAACAGTCTCTTAACAAGTATATTATAGATCTCAAAACTTTTAATTCTGTGTTTAATAGTTTTTTGGACTTTGAACGTGCTTAATACCTTTAAACTTTTAATTTTGTGTTTAATAAGTTCTTGACTTATTAGACATTTTTTATAATTTATAGATTTATTAAACACGAATTTGAAAGGTATATTTTAAAGTTCATAAACCTATTGGACACCAATCTTGAAAGTGGAATATTCAACAATATGAGGTTGTTGACGAATTGGTCGAAGTTATAACCTATTTATCAATTGAGCTATGTTAGATTGATATTAAATTTATAATATAATCTTTTTTTTTTCCTTTTAGTATATAAATTTTTGACATATTAGAACGGACAATGGACCCTAAATTTAAAGTGTTCATAGACTTGGTAGGAGCACCAACTTGTTTAAGATGCTAGCCTATGCAAGTCAAGGGTCGAATCATACTCAATATTTATAATATTATATTCCAAAAAAGAGTTATAAATTTGTGACCCAACCTTCATAAAACAAGAATATTAAGCCTTTGGACGCAAAAGTACATTTTCATGATTACCTCTTACAAGCATAGCGATTAAAAGTTTCATAACATGTAAAATCAATTTATGTCTCTAAATTTGTCGATATGAACTTTAAGTCAACAGTAATTGGTACAACTCTTTGACCAGGAGCATCTAACGGTGGCAGGCAGGTGCCTCGGATGCTGCGGGCACTACTCTGAAATGGCAAAAAGACACCGAATGTCGGGAGAGGTCCCTACACCTCCCTCGCTTTCTCTCTCTTTCTTTCACATTATCTCTCCATATATAAGTGACAAGAAAACCCTGAGAAAGGTAAGCAAGAATTCGTATGCGGATTCTGCTCACATTCTTCAAGTAGACTCTCACTGGAAATCGCTATGATACTGGTAGCTGGCGAGGCAGGGGAAGGGGGCGGTGGAGCCAAAATGCAAGTACTAGTAGAGAGAATGGGTCAGAAACAGCGGTGGCGGAGAACACAAATTCAGGGTCTTCCAACGAGGATAGCACTGATTCCGGCAAAGCCATCAGTTCCGGTAAGCGGGCTGCAAAGGAAGGGCGGATTTTCAGGAATTCGGTGCTGGAGTGATGGAATCAACATTAAATGACAAACGGACAGACCGTACTGATTTGGAAATTGCTGAGTTGTCGCCATCATTGCTAAAGGGTCAATAGGAGGGAGACTGAAATTAAAAAAGCAGTAATGGGCAAGAATGAGAGATTCAGTCAGAGTCATTAATATCCAAGGTAACACCTACAAATCTTGGGATTAATATATTGATAGTCTACTTACGGATAGTATAAAATTTTCATTTTTGTCATAAAACAATCTCAGATATCCATCACCCAATTTACTAATATATCCTTTTGTATCTCACCTCAATATTAATTAATTTTTAAAATCCAAAATTGGTTAATGGGGAGGTTACATTTTAAATCGCTTAAATTTTGCTTTCCAAAAGTAAAAAATATCAAATCTGTTGGATCGGTATGGCAACCCTAGAGGGGGTGAATAGGGTTTAATTAACAAAATATAATCTTCTTAATAAATGGGCCCAATTTAAACAAAAATAATACACTTTTTGAGATATGCAATTTTAACAAAGTAAGATAAAATGAATTCTAAGGCAAACAAGAGAAATTTAAAGCAAACAATCAAATTCTAAGATTAATTGCAAAAATA